GTAGCTGCATCTCTTGGTGATTCATGCCTTCATTCTATTTCATTTTTACTGCTAAGAAACATTTCACTGTGTGGGTCTGCTTATTCTCCCATTTGTGATATGTGGTCTATTCATCCCTAATTTCAGACTATTATAAAACTCCTAGAATATTTATATACAAGTCTCTGTATGGATACAGAATGTATTCGGGAGTAGACTTTTTGAATCACATGTTTGGTATGTTTTGCCTTTTTAAGGAACTCGAAAATGACGTTCCAAAGCAGCTTGGGGTTTTCATTTGAGGGACAGGGAATGAGAGTTGCAGTTACTACCTATTTTTGTCAGTGTTTGATTCTTCTTTCAGCCGTGGCCATAATAAGAAATCTGTAGTGGTGCCTACATGACACTACATTGCTTAGTTAAGTAGAATTAACTAAGCCTGCTCAGGCCTTCACAACCTCTTGTTTTACTTGCCAAGTGTCTCTTTTGGTGAAGCAGTGGTTCAAAAGTTTGCTCATCTTTTAGTGGGTCATAACGCTTTCTTATCACTGAGTTTTTTGTTTCATTGCTTTTTCTGGACAGGGTTTCTCTGTGTAACAGCTCTGAACCATTGAGTTCCGAGAGTCATTTATCAGCTGTGTGTAGCTGGAAGGTCTATTCTCTCAATCTGTTCTGTCTTTTCATTTTGGAGTGGACTGTATTTGTTTTAAATTAGTTAATTATGAGGGAACGTACTTTAAACTGTGTTTGGGGGCATTCTAAGAGCACTCACAGAGGGATTTGCAAAACAGCAGGGATTTCAAACAACAGCAACTGAAACAGAATGTGTTGAATGGAGAGAGCCGTTTGGTGGGAACCAGTTTCTGGAGTACTCTTCATTGAATCAATTAATGAGTTAATTAACTTGATCTTATTAATTAGGAGAAAGCTGTATGGCATTTCTAGTCCAGCACTGGTGTTTGTTGTAAACTGTGAATTCTAGGGGATTTAAGACAGTTAAACGGAGGGTTTAAAAACAACATGGAGAAGGAAGGGGTTTAGGAAAGACTCTGTTGCGCAGGTCAATGAACACTGTAACAGACTTAGAGAAAATGTCTGTGGTGTGCATCAGTGTAGCTCTGATCTACTCTCAGCTCTGCATTGCTCACAACTAGGGAGGAAAGACAGAAGCTCAAAATGGTTAGGACCTTGTCTTCCGTCTTGGGCAAACCTCTCTTGGTTCACACCCAGGTGCAGCCAAAATGAGGGGACTGTGGTCAGATGGGCACTCATCACAGCATGGTCTCATGCTGGAGCTGACCACTTCACATTCCTTTACATTCCTTTATAGCCTGACTGCCCCAAGTTTTCAAGCACGTCTTTACCCTCTTTGTGTACTTACTTGATTCCGTTGTGTCTCATTTGATGGACGCTCCATTTACACACATTAATCATTTTATTGGCCTGTTTTCTGGCTATTGTATCTTCAGAGTTTTTAAAAATACATATGGCAAATATTTTCACTTAGTCCATGGCACACTCCTCATTTTCTTAAAGCATTTTACGAGTAAATACACAATCAGATGTTGTCTGGGTACCTAGAATGGCTTAATGCCACTTACATGTCTAAATATCAATTTTTGTTAACTACAGGAAAGGCCATACAAACATGTACTTAGGTGTTACCATGTCTACATGTCTACACTGCCATGTGTCTAGGCAACACTTCTATTCCCATGTAGCATATTGCTTCTGAAGATCCCCATAATACTCATGAGCTTGAGAAGGCTGCCCTGCTAATCAGCCTCTCTAGAATCAGTGTCTTGATGCTTTGCTCAGAGGCCTGAGGTAGCAGAAGGCAAGGGAAGAGCCGGGGCTCTGTCATCGCTTAGTCTTGTCTGGTCACCCCACTATGGTCTTTTCTCCATATTATTTGACGAATGGACCTGGACACTTCCTGTTCTTCATATACTGAAATTCTGCGCAAACAGGGCTCTGAGCAGTTTTGTTTTGAGACAGGGTCTCACAATGTCTCTGTGGCTGGTCACCATGCCCAGTTTGAATGGATGCTGAAGGTTTGAAGTAGTTGACAGGGAATGTTCTGACATCAGTGCACACCACGTCAAGTTTCGAGCGAGACTGCCTGTTGTGAAGAGTCTGGTGTGTCTCCAGCAGGAAGCTGTCTGACTGACTCCAGGGAGCATCATACGTCCAGGACATTTGAAGGGTTATCTCCTCTGTCTCTCTTCTTCTCAGAACAAATTAACCCCCCAAACATGTTATCTTAAACCATCTTATGTTCCTGTTACATCATAAGCAAGAGTCAGTAATTTGCAAATAATAGAGGTTTCCTTCGGCTCCCAGTCCTGGAGGCTGGGCAGCTTTAGATTAGGCAGCCTCAGCTCAGACTCGAGTCTCATAATGGAAAGCAGAAGAGATGGGAGATGTGCACATGAGCAGACAGTTCTGAACTTCCACTAGACTTGACCCAATCTTCAAGAGACATTAATTCACACATGGGGGCTCTGCACCTCCTCCCTGTGAACACAGCCGCACAGAGGAACTGAAGTCCCATTCCCACCGACACAAGCGTGCTGAGGAAGCTGGAACAGCAGCACACAGATGCTTTGGGTTGCTATACTTAAAGCTTCCAGCTCTCCTCTTTCATATTATGTCTCTGTGGGTACTTTCCTAGAGCATTATCCTCCTGAGTGTTCGGATGCCAGCTGAAATGATACTACCTTACCATAGCTTCCACACACAGCTGCCCGCTTAGGCTCAGCAGAAGCCACCTTTTAGGTTAGGGTTCTTTGGGGGATTTTCACTGACACTGTATGCTGTGACTACGTTTTGTTACCATTGGTTAATAAAGAAGCTGCTTTGGTCTGTAGCAAGGCAGGGCAAAGCCAGGTGGGAAATCCAAGCAGAGATTCCGGGAGAAGAAGGGTGGAGGCAGGGGCACATGCTAGCAAGCCACAGGCACAGCAAGATGTACAAGAGATACATGGCAGATAATGCCATGAGGTCACATGGCAAAATATAGATTATTAGAAATGGGTTAATTTAAGTTGTAAGAGCTAACTCGTAATAAGCCGGAGCAATAGGCCAAATGGTTTGTAAATAACATTAAGCCTCTGATTGATTATTTTGGGAATGGGCAGCTGGAAAACAAAAACAGTGCCTCCTCCTTTTACAGTGGCACTCTGAGTAGCTAGGAAGCTCAGCCTGGACTGTATTTTAAAATGCACAGAAGTAGCTTTTTCCCCAGTTTATCTGTATGGGCCAGAGAAGACAGCAAATACAGTCATTGCTAAGCATACACCATTCTCTCAGCTGCTCTAGACACTGGTTAGTCTATGTATTTCTATATTCTGAACTTGTATTTGACTCCTAGGCAGAAGAGAGCCTTGTGAAAGAAGAAATTCTGGAAAGGTTGGGGATGTGACATTGCAGGAAGTAAGAACTGTGTTTTCAGGGCACTTCACTGTTTGGGCTCCCGGGTGCAGACTCATTGTGATCACCCTTCTTGGTTTCTCACTTTGAGTCAGAAAGGGGAGCTCTGTGCGGTCAGCACCGTAATAATTTGTCCCCGGACAGAGCTCTTCTATTGAAAACTCACTCTTTGAGATGAAGCTCTCAGAGTTCTGAGATGTTCTCAGAGAAAATGCCTCAATACAGTAATAACTGCCACGACTTTTCATATTGCTCTGACTCTAGAAAAATCTCCACTTGTTGGTAATAAGAACTTGGAGCAGATACTAGACCTTTTTGAGACTTAGTTTTCTGCCTGCCCTAGAACATGAAGGAACAATATTATTTCCATCCAAGGGGCTTATGTGGAAGATATCGAATCAATTGTGCCCATAGGTGCTCCACATCATGCCCATTACATCAGGGTCTCTCAAGACACAGCTGCTGTTTGTGGTTAAGGCTCATACACACTCAAGTTCCCAAGGGTTGGACACAGGGACAAAACTCTAGCCTGTTGCCAAGTATCAGAGGAGTTCCTTAAAAGCTTGATTTTTCTCAGGACAGTTGGAGAAACTATTGTCCTTTGTTTCCCCTGAATGCCTCTTTCTTTTATGCTTTCTTTTTTCCCACTTATAGACCAGACATGATTTGAGCCATACACCTTGGATTTGGCCCTGAGAGTATGTCTCTCTAGAGTTGCATAGCAGAGGGAAGCCAAAAGGACAAATGAGGGGCCAGGAGCAGAGAATTCTGAAAGGCAATTGGAGGACAAGACTACTCAGGTTTTGGGGTCAAAAAGGGTCTTCTCTCTCTTTGACACCTTTCTCTGGGAATAGATAGATACCCCCTCTTCCCTGAGAATCCATTAGGAGAAAGGTAAAGACACTTAATAAATGCCAGGGGTTACTCAGGGCTTCTCAGTTATAGGCATGGACACATTCACATTTTGTAAATCTACTAGAAAAAAATCTTTCCTCTGACAGCAAAGGCTTTTTGGGCAAATACAACAGCTGATGTGTTTCTCTGGCTACCCCAAGGCCCAGCCAGGTTCTAACTTTATAAGCATAGAGCCCCAAGAATAAAGTAGAAGCATCGGGTACCGGGTTCTGACTCCAGAACCACCTGCTTGTCACTTCCTTTTTCAATCCCACAATCATTTCCTTAGAGGCTTTAACTCCCCCCACTATCTCTTACCTTGTGTGATGCATGTGCTTTTCATTGATTTTAAATTCCTCAAAGTCGGGAGCCAGGAACTACATTGCTTTTTCCAAGCGCTATACAAAGAACACCTTGTAAAGCATGCCCAATAATTATTAACATAGATGGCTACAAAAATCAGTAAAAATTGTAATGCAATATTGACTTTTATATAGTAAATATTTTATTTTCCTAGGTTAAAATTTTAAATAAAGAGTAGAAAATAATTTAATTTATAAATTAATAAAAAATTAAAGTCTTCCTTTGACCTTTCAAATGCAATCCATTCACAACCAGTCACAAGGGCAAGACTGTGTTGCCTAAAGATCGCCTGCAACCATTGTCCAGTCTCAGAGATATCAACTCACAGGTCTTCAGTTCTGGAATATATTAGTAAGTCTTATAAGGATGGAAAAGTTCTTAAGGATTTCTGCTTGGACCACCATCCAGGCGCAGCTGCTGAACTCCTTGACTTCGAGGAACCTTCGCACCCTTCCGTAATAGCTCTTCAAATGTCGAATGGTTGGGTAGTTGCTTGATGTCCGTCTTTCGTTCTCTGGCACTTCCTTTAGGATTTTCCTCAGTTTGTCTATCTGAGTATGGAGTTTACCCAAGAACTCTCTAACGATGCTCTCATTCCACCCAGTGCTGGAGGAATCGTTTTTGAAGACAATGAAGATATTCTCAAACATCACTTTGATGATGAAGGCAGCGTCTTTCTTCTCCATCTGTCCTGGGTGCTTCACCTCCATAGGGAACTTGAAGTATTCTGTGTGGCCAAGGCAGGACCGTCTTTCCAGCTGGTCCAGGAGCTTCAGGCATGCTGAGTTGCTGCTGCGTTGTGTGCGCTCAAGCTCCTTGTAGTTGATGGACAGGGTTATGGAGAGAAACCCCAGCAGGAATGCAGCTTGGAGGATCCACCTGTTGCTCATGATGGAAGCTGGGCTGATGCTGGCTGCTACCTGGAAGATGAGGCAAAGACTGCCCAAGGCTGCAAGTGAGAATGTTCTTCTTCCATGGTCTGAGAGAGCTCTTTTATAGGGATGGTCCTTTTTGGTACAGAGGAATTTCCCATTTTCAGTTCTCCCTTTCAGTTTTCCTTTGTCATTTTTTCTTTTTGTAACAGTTTCTAATATTCATTTTACTTACATCCATGCCGATTTTATACACTATATATATTGGATTAAAATATATACAAACTGTAAGTTTCTTTAAAACCTTTTCAATAATTGCTGAAACAAAGGAAGAGAAACACCCAGGAGAGAACAAATGAAAGCAGGCAGCCCTGAAGACAAAAGAACTCAAACAGCCAAGGTGTCAACGAAAAGCCAGGCAGAGTAGCAGTTCATTCGGGATGGCTTGGCTTCTGCCCATTGAAGTAGTGGGCCGGTGGGAGAGGGCCTCTGGGAGTGCCAATGGGGGCTTGCAATAGTGTACTACAGGAGAAACTTCTTATCAACAAGCTATGGCTCTCTTGGGAGAGGGCTCCACACCATGGGAAAACTGCTCAAAGTGGGATCCAGTTTGAGCAGCATAGAAACAAAAGAACCCAGGGAAAGGAAATCTGTGGGGTGGGCAACTGAGAGAAGTGGCCGCATTGCCCAGCACTTCTCCAAATCACCAGCAGAGGGAGCTCTGAGGAGTGAGGAAAACCACCCGGCCTTTTCTCAAGCCAGGGAGGATGAGCTGCCATGGGAGAACTACAGGCACACAGCACACAGATCACAGCTCAGTGCTCTCGTTCGAGAGCGCGGTGTATTTAGGAATTATTTAGAAGAGCATAAACCAGAGTGAGAAGCTCAAGAAATGAAGGAGGTAAGCAGAGACACAATTTAAAAAGTGGGTTTGGTTGAATTAGATACAGTCACTAAGGTGAGCTCTTTGGGAGAAATCTCCATCGGAGAAAGGCCTTGAATCTTTTGAAAAATGTCAGCAGCTACAATCCAACAATACATAAACACTATTATATTGACTAGGGGGGAACGTGAGGTTTGTTCAATATCATAAGCTACATAAAACACACTAAGTGGATTAGAAGGTCAAATGATCAAACTCCAGAAAAAAAAAAATCAAGGAATATGAAAAGTAACGATGGAACAAGGGTGGTCTGGTGCATCAATATGTGAAGCCCAAGGCATAATGTAAAATACTGGTAATGTGGCTGGAATCAAATTAGACAATTTCAGTGTGACAAAGCCACCCAGAAAGTCAGAGGAAGAGCAGGGCCAGAACCACACTGAGGGTGCACAATGAAAGGCTTCATTTTCTTGCCTCTCTGAAAGGTCCCCAACAGAAAAATGTATAGGAAGCCAGATACCAGGAAAAGAAACTTGGGTTAATAAAGATGATATCTGTTCGATGTTACTGGGTTTAAAAACGCACAACTCAAACAAGAAACCAGGCAGTCGTTTTTATTTTATTAATTTTTAAATGCACATTTATTTAGTAGGGGTGGGAATGTGGGGTTGTGTGGGTAGATAGGCAGAGAGGAAGTCAGAGGACACGGGTAAAAGGTGGTTCTCTCCTTCTGTCATGGAGGCTCCTGGTATCAAACCCAAGACTCTGGGTTTAGTGCTGAGTACCTTTATCTACCGAGCCGTCTCACTTGCCAAGGTAGCCATGTGCAGTAACTGTATTTTCCAAGGAGGGCACAGAACAGTGAAGCCATCAGTTCAAATGTTATAAATTTATTCAAACATTTTAAGTCTACAGATTCTGTTTCCAAAACTAGGTGCAACAGGGGTTGCTAATCCACACGACTTCAGGTTCTTCCACTAAAAGGTAAGGGGTATGTGTTTCCTTTTGGGTCTGGGCAGATTATTTTTTGTTTAAGAGCCAATAGTGATTTTGGAGGCTAGATCAGAAAAGTGAATATAACTTCTACTTTCTTATCTGGGATTCTTGCTCTTGAGGTTTTCAACCACTTACTATAAACTATTAAGTCATAAAGCCAAAACAAGTTGGCCATGAAGGCACAGGCCTGTAGTCTCAGCACTTGAGAGGTTAAAGACAGGAGAACTGAAGACCAAGGCCAGCCTGGACGGCACAGGAAGTCTGAGGGGAGCTGTGCTGGCTGCTTCTATGTCCGCTTGACACAAGCTAGAGTTATCTGAGAGAAGGGAACCTCAATTGAGAAAATGCCTCCAGAAAAATCCAGCTGCCGGACATTTTCTTAATTGATGGTTGACGTGGGAAGGAATCAACCCATTGTGGGTGGTACCTCAATGGAGGCCTAAGGCTCTATAAGAAAGCAGAGTGAGCAAGCCATGGGCAGCAAGCCAGCAAGCAGAACTCTTCCGGGACCTCTGTAAATACATCCAATCCAGGATCAATAGAAGTTATGAAGGGATAACACAGAGAGGATTAAAAGAAACATCTTTTCCTCTTCACTTTCACAATAGACCTATTTGAAATGGGGCTTTCTCCATTATAAGAAGGTATCTCAAGACAGGGTCATAGGCAGCTTCATAATTTAATGCACTTTATTTGGGGTAATTTAAATGTGTTATTAGATTTTGATTTCTTCATATTCCCCTTTAAACATTTTCTATCATGAGCACATGTGTATCTTTGGATAATGGTGGTATACAAGAGTCTAGTACCCTCTAGTTGCAGCAAAGAACGATTCACTCTGTAATTTGTGAATATCTAGAGGAGAGTCCCAACACGAAGGCATTATACACGTCCAAGAAGTGGTATGATGGTTTTGATGTTAATTGTTCTACCAAATAGTCAGTCTCCATGGAGGGCCCATTGGTAGAGTCTTTAGGAGACAAGGCCCAGTAAGATGTCATTAAACCATCATGGGAAGGGGGTTTGTCTGTCTGTGCCTCAGTTTGCATTCTGGCCATGAGGTGAGGTTTGCCAAAGCACCCCCTCAGGCTCTTTTGGACTGCATCACAACCTCAAAGCAGCAGAAAGGATCCATAATGGGACTGAGCGGCAGCAATGAAACGTCCCTCTGCAAGTTTCTTCTCTCGGCTGTGTATTGCAGTAATAGGATGCAAACACCGAAGAAGTCCTAATCCCCTTGTTTTGATTATTACACGTTGTGTATAATATGATTTTCACAATCGCTACTGCACATACATCAGTAAAGCACTAAACACCCAGTTATACTGAAAAGCAAGGCGTAAAAAGCACCTCCAATGCGGCCATACAAGAATGCAGGGAGGAAAACAAACTAGAGGAGGCACACCAAGAGTCCTTGGAACAATCCTTAGAAATGGGTGGGCTCTTCCTGATTTTGGTTCATCGTGCGGTTTCCTGGCTTTTCACTGCTGAATATGTACTCTTAAAGAGACTCACCTAGAGCAAAATGGAATCAATGAGCCTTAACTTTTGAGTTTAGTCTGCGGGGGGCCGCCCCCGCCCATAGGTTGCATTCTCTTTCAGCCTTTTGCCTTTTGCCTGCCAGCTCTTAGCAGAACTGCAGATGCTTCATGATAGTAGAAGAACCGATCTCTGAATGAGCGTCTGAAGCAGTGATTTTCTTTCTCTAAACCCAAGCCGGCTTCTGCTGTTGCACATCTAGCGACACCCGCGAGGGATTCCCTAAGCCTTAAATTCAAGGAAGCTCTTTCCTTTTCCCTTTCTCTTTCTTATTCTCTTCTCATCTTCCTCCTTTTCTCTCGCTTCCTCTCCTCCCACCCCCAAGCATTTTTTTCCATTGGCCTGGAATATACATAGCACAAAGACCAAAGCAAGGATTTTCGAAGGCTTTCAAGGTCGTTGCGCTATTTCATTTAGCAAGGAAGAGCCTTGTAACCTCCTAGAGAGTTGCCTTTCCCTTGCTGTATGCAGTGGCCTCTGACCTTCCTCACTAGGTGGCACTTGGAGAACTCAGTCAGCTGGCGCCACAGGAGAGGCAGTGGTAGACGTGGCATTTTCGTTCCCCTTTGGGGGCACTCACTCTGCAGTATACTACGAAAAATCAAGCATTTTGCTTCGTAAAAATTAACCGGCCGCTGGTATTTTTTTTTTTTCTCTGATTTAGCAGATAGTTGAGGTTCGATGTCCCAAACTGAGTAGCTGTACTGGTTTGGCCACAGCATGGCTAGAGAGAATAAACCTCTCTAAGAAACAGTATGTCGTCAGACTTAGGATTCTCTAAGCTACTGCATAGAGAGTAAAAGGAAAGGACTCAAAATGAAACTAAAATACAAGCTCTGTTAATGAAAACATATATAAAAATAGCATCGCGGGGCTGGAGAGACGGCTCAGCAGTTAAGAGCACTGGCTGTTCCTTCAGAGCCCCCAGTTCAGTTCTCAGCACTGAAATGGCAACTCCCAACTGTCTCCAACTCCGGTTCCAGGGCAGCTGACACCTTCTTTAGGCCTCCACAGGTACTGTGTGTACGTGGGTCACAGGCACACATACAGGTGAAATGCTCATACACCTAGATTAAAAATACAACTCTTTAAAAGTAAATTGAACAACATTATAAATAAAATGCAATGCGGAACTAAATATGCCAAATTTTTACATAGGGCTGAATGAAGCCATTCCAAGGTTAAAACAGATTGCTGTAATTATATTTTCTACTGGCCGTGGTAGTACATGCTTCCCATCCCGGCATTTGGGAAGAAGATGCAGAAGGGTCGCTTGAGCTTAAGAGTTCAAGGTTACCCCGGGTGATGTAGCAGGGATGTCTAAATAAACAAATAAAATAAATAAATACATAAATGACCAGAGCAGTGAGCTGACCCCGTGGGTGAAGGTGCCTGCTATGAAGTCTGATGACCTGTGTTATAAATGACCAGAGCAGTGAGCTGACTCCGTGGGTGAAGGTGCCTGCTATGAAGTCTGATGACCTGTGTTTAATACCCAGGCCCTATGTGATGGAATGGGAGAACTGACTCCTGCAAGCTCTCCTCTAACCTCCACATGCAGGCTGCGATGTAGGTGTGCCCCCAAATCATACACACACAC